CACCTAAAATCACCAATATCTTATTACTCTCTACTAATTTAATGTCTTTATTCAATGCGTCGAAGTACATAGTCTCATGATTTTCACCTTCCGTTCCTACGTACACCTTATGCACAAATAGAGTAACAATTAATGAAACTTCTGGTCGGATATATACGATTTGAGAGCTTAAAAACGCCGTGTCGCAATTGTACAGTATTTTGCTCACATTATTCCATGACACGCTTATTTTCGAAAAAGCTGAGACGGTAATCTTGTTTCAGCATAGTCTTCCGATTTTACATATAACACTGTGGCTAGTCGATCCATGTGGATGCAGTCAGGCACATGTAATGTTTCGTGAGTGCCCGCCTCTGTACTTTTCAATGGAAGAATTTTGCACTTCTGTTTAAATAATCTATATTTACTCATCCGTGTATATCATACTTCATTGATTTACAAAACCAAAGCTACGCTATAAACACACATTCTCTGATATTTTTACGGAGAATAGATAACTCAAACGAGTTCACTCGACCAGTTTTATCATCTCGCTCATAGCTGTGAGAAGGTATGTATAATTTGCCATAGGTTTACCTTGTAATGGGGAATAAAAAATTCAAGTAATATAATTATTTCACATACACAAATATGTCTGTGTGAAGTAAAATACAAATACAATGCGTTCTATAATATTTTTGGGGTTATGGTATGAAATATCCGCTTTAAAAAAGCAATTTAATTATGATGTATCATGTGGATTAGTAGACGTTCTGATTGGATTCATTGAACAGACTGGCTAGGTTTCAATTAAATCATTTTGAATGTGTGTATTTTTAATATTTTAATCCACAGTGTCCAAAAACAATAATAATGCTATATTGGTAATTGGAAAGATTCCACTTACCACGATTTCAAAAAAATTGTAAATAGATAATATTATTCTTGAATTATGGTCATTTGTTTCAAGGAATCTGGAGGCTCGTTCAGCTGACCTGACAAAATCATCAAGATTTACGGATGGTCCATCTGTTGGCTGCTCATTGTCACTTTCAAGGAATGTTAATGGCTCTGAAACTTGTAGCCTTGCCCAAGTCGGTATTTATTTACTTATCTGATCTTGAATTATTACCACCTTGTACAATCCAATGCATCATCGCTGATATTATGCTAAGTTATTCAGCGGTTTCGAGATTCCAATAATACCTAGGCTACCTAAGGGTATCGCAAAACCATATTGATTGACAATATGGACATGGACACAACGTGTGACTTCAGGCTGATTGACCAATCAAAACGTTATCAGGTTGACCTGCAAAAAAAAGCAAACTACCCGTCTAGGACTTTAAATTCAATGATCTGATCGAGTGTTTCTTGAGAGTTACAATATATTATATTATTAAATGTACATTGGAATGTAAGCAGTCATTAATACTCGTCTAAATGAAATCATGCAATTCAATGTTGATTCAAAATCAAAACTAAATTCGCGATGGAAATACACAAAGACCTAGTCCAGAATGTAGGGCCATCGTTGATTTGTCAAATTTTACCGACAAAAACATTTGGTCGGTAAAGCACGTGGCTTTCTCTTGGGTACAAGGCGGTCATAATAGAAATCAAGATAAGTAAAAGAGACCGACTTGGGCAAGGCTATGAAACTTGATTTGGTCCGTCTGTCTGTCCGTTGGTCCGTCCGTCTGTCAACATTGGCTGCACAAATTAAAACTGCTATTCGGATTGAGTCATTTCCACCTTCATTTTATGCATATCCATACTGTCTACTGTAGATTGGGTTAATTTGGCGCCCGCTTTAATTTGGCGAATTTGGCAAAACTGAAAAATTCGCCAATATAAATCTTCGCCAAAATTTAGAATGAATCCCGGGGAATTGTCTAGGGTATTTCGTCCAGTGTATTTAGGTCACTTCCGGTTTAGTTTTTTTCCAAAAATATGAACTGTCTCTCATAAATTGGCTCAGAACTGGTCAGTCACTCATTAATACTCAGGGAATAACTAGAAAGGAAAAGCGTGGTATGGTAGCAGCATCGATCAAGGTGCAAAATGTAAAGGATGATCTCACAAAAATGTACAAACGTGTTGAATATCGCCAGTGGTTCTCAAAAGAAAAAAAGAACATAGCCAAACATTTTTTTTGCATATCCGCCAAATTAAATAGCCGCCAATATGCCAAAAATGGCAAAATCGCCAAATTAAGTAGCGCCAAATTAACCCAATCTACAGATTTGACCTATCATCGCCATTTCCCAAGTTTGCCCGGTTTCCGAGAATTTGCTGATTTAAAAAAAAAATCGATCTGATGATAGCCTTATAGAAAGTCAAGAGAAGTGAAGACAAGATTGAAAAAATACCAGTCCAGTTCATTTCCAGGTCCAAGTCAAGGTCCAGTTCAGGTCCAAGTCCAGATCTAGGTCTAATCAGGTTTAATCTAGGTCAAGAACTAGGTCAAATCCAGTACTTTTTCATTTTTTTCAATTTTCTCAGTCGTCCTTCAATATTTTTGCTCCGTTTTTTTAAATCATGTTCCTTGGGAAAAAGCTAATCCCTACAGGCAAGTTTTTTTTGATCACTCTTACCGTTTTTGAGATATGGCATCCGAAAAGTAGGTCACAATAAAAAGTTTTTGGAATGTATAAGTTATGAAATATGTGCAGAATTGTCCAAGAAATCCGAATCTGCAAACCAGATTTTGATCCGACTTCCGGTTCGGAAGTTATGGCATTTTGAAATCTCAAAAATCGCTATTTTGGTATCCCATGTTAAGTCAATGGGGCTTGAGAAAATTATCAATTGTAACAACACAACACTAGATACAGCTTGGATGCAGCCAACTTAATAAGAATCTACAATAGAAGCCGTCCTCAAAATCTACTTTCCTTCAAAATGTGTACACTAAAAGGCCTAGGTCAAAATCTAGGTCAAATTCATAGTTTTTCCTTTGACTACAACAAATCATAGCTGAACCAACAACAAATGACTCATCTTTTATTGATCTCATATTTACTAATACCTTTGTTTGAAAATCAGGATATACATTCCTCTGAAGGTTCTACACTGTGTGAGCACAGGACCGTGGGTCCTTTATTTCATCTGTAATGGTATTTTCCAGTTGATGGGTTTATACAGGGTGGTCCAAAAAAATTGGAACATTTGTTAATTGAACACAAAACCTTTATTTTTTCTCTAAAATGCACCAAAATTTCACTGAGCATAGTTCAGTCACTTATCTCTCTGATGTAAAGTTTATAAGTGCAAACCACAAAGTTAATGCATTAAACTAGTCAATGTTTGATATGACCCCCTTTTCTTAAATATACACTTGTCAATTTCGCAGCTACTTTTTCAAGTATTCTTTGTTGATTGGTATACACATTTATAAAATCATATTTTGTTGACATGAGGTATTAACATCTATGGTTTACTGGAAAACTATTGTGTTATTGTCAACTTAAGAATACCCTAAATTTTATTTAAGAGTAGGAAAGAAAGAACATGTCAGAGGTGAGTGATTGCATCACCCATACAGCTACTAAACTGACAAAATCATTGTTTCCATTTTTCAGTAGAGGGGAAACTGACTAGTTATTTACAAGGCTTTATTAAAGACCACCTCTAAGTACACATTATATATAATTTGTGTTCTGGGAAACTCATTTATGATATTGATATACATATATTGATAAATCCAATAAATATTATTCATATTAGAACACGAAAGGGGAGTGGGTTCATTTACCAGTCAAAACAGACTGCCCTGGCCCCTTTCTGGAGAATATTCAACCAGTAATATATCCGAAAATAGCCATCAAAATATGCTTGATACCCATCAATTTGGGTAAAAAATGTGGAATATGTTCATATATTTGATCTTCCAAGGCAAACATATAAGTAGTTTGTTCAAGCTGAATTTTTAATCAAGATGGTTTGCAGAAAATCAAACGAACAGCAAAGTGAATGAATCATTTCAAAACTGAGTCCCAGGCTTCAACTTGTAATTCAGGAGAAAAGGGGTCATATCAAACATTCTCTAGTTTAATGCATTAACTTTGTTGTTTGCACCTATAAACTTTACATCAGATAAATAAGTGATTGAACAATACTCAGTAAAATTTTGGTGCATTTTAGAGAAAAAATAAAGATTTTAAGTTCAATTATCAAATGTTCCAATTTTTTTTGGACCACCCTGTATATAGTATTTTCAATTTTTCATGAGGGTGTCTTTAGACTACTTGTAATGGGGTGGCTAATTACTTTACTGAATGAGGAATGTTTATCCAAACAATGGATACAAAGAAAATCTGGCCAGTTGTCCATCAGTAAATAAATCATCATGATAAAAGTATAATTTATTAAAGCATCCATTTGTTACCGTTCTGAATCCAAATGATACATAGGTGCATCCATTTTATACATATATGTTGACGTTTACGAAATGTTTTTCAAATATCTTCCCTATAACAGGAATATGGTAGCTGAAACTTTCACACATTGTCATACTATGTATATTGAATATGTATGCAAGATTTCAAGTCACAATGTTAAGTAGAAACTCTGAGATCACTTACCTCGATTTGCTGTCATATTTTTGCAATGATCCCATTCCCTATAATGTACGCGAGTACCCACGATACATTACATATAAATGACTGCATCCACATAGATCGACTAGCCACAGTGTATAATATGAAAGATTTTTTGGCGAAAAATTGAAAAAAGACGTTCCTTTCTTTCTTTCGAAATGTTTAATTAAGAACATATTGATTGGTTGCTATTTTATAACGATCAAATCAAGAAGAGATGTGAAGAATTTAGCCCTACTAAAAAAATTGAAACCCACCTTTGCAAAGAATTCGTTCGGATATTTCGGGTAATTTTCGGCCGGGCATTATTGCCATTTAAAGCTGCAAAGCAAATGTTCTAATGAAACAATGAACTTGAACTGAATTGAAGTGACTTGAATTGAAAATACCTGAACTTATCTGGCAAAATAAGATAGAGAAATGGGAATCCCTCGCCTGAAGCTGTATATCGCTATCCTATTTGGCTCTATTTTGCCAGGTAAGTTCATGTATTTTCAATGATTCTAGTGTGAAATGTGACTCACAACACACCGGGGCCTTCCTTTATGTGTATTAACCGTTCCCAGTGAGTGATTTAGTAACTAAGATTATAGAGGATTAGTTCTAAATAACATTTGCTATGCAGCACTATAATTGCATCTATTTGAAGGGTTCCTCAAAACTATGAATAACATTTTGACGTCATATTCCAAACTCCCAAGGCCGCCATTTGAAATGCATAGGAAACTCTACGTTATCTTGTTTCTTTTAGTAACAGGGACCGTTGCAGAGGCAAAGAAAGATGACGATAATTGTAAGTTATTGACAATTGCATTTTATCATCACATGAATCCAGGGCTTTAGATCGGTTTTCACATGGAAGGTACAAGTACACGTAGCAACATTCCAAAGTAAGGAAAGTGAGTACGATTTTTTGCAATATCTACAATATCTGGGTACACTAATTATTTAGTGCACATTTTGTGCAAAAATGGAAGATGTTAGACCATGTGACGGTGTTGAATGAGTTATGTTTATCTAGTGAAAATAGCACATGGTCATGAAATTTCTGACACGTTGAGCAGAGCAACGGGTCACATATGTCATATGCGGCATGTAGTTATACATGGAAGAATGATTGTAACTTGCCTCAGCAATATGGTCTTGACTCTGGAGTTACTTGAGCCTCTAACTAATAACTTAGACTGAAATCAAACCCTGTTCTATTAAAGATATGTTTATCACCCTTGGTATACGCAGCTAACGAAAATTGACCGGTACGGGTCAAAAGCTGGACAGGTACGGGTTAACGGTTTTATTTAAATTTAAAATAGCCATAACTTGCTCAATATTGACTTCCTCGTGTCTAATTTGAAATACATTTGAAATACATTTGTATATGATGCCTCCCGATGCTTTTAAGTACCCCAATTTTTTACAGATTTTTAAACGGACCAAAACTCTCTAAATGCGCATTTATGCTCTTTTCTCTCGAGAATGACTGTCTCATTTTCACGATAACTTTTATTTAGTACAGAAAGTGAACATTCTCCCACAAATTATGTTTTTATTGGAATGTGTTCTTGAATAATTACCCACAATGCAACACTCAAAGAGAACATCTTGATAACTCTTATTCTTAATGGTCTCTTTTGTTTACTTTTATGTGATATTGAATATATTTTATGCTTAAATCATATTAAAAATTGATTTTTATTCAAAATAATACTAAAACATATACATTTATCTAATACTTTTTGAAATATTACCATAAAGGGGAAGCATGTCATTGCTCATTTTGAAGGTCTCATGTTATTACATAGAGTTGCATACCCTTCTAGTTGAAAGCCCATGTTATAACTCACTTTTTGCAGGTTTTGAGATAAGGATACTATCTTTCACAATTTTTCACGAGGAATTCATTTCTGAGGTCCATTTCAATGGATCTCATCTCCTTTTGGAGATATACAGTGCCACATTGTTATAAGGGCAAAATGAGGAAAAAACTTCAGGCCCACCTTGTCATATCCGCAGCAGAGCCAATCAGATTACATAAGTTTGATCATGTGACTTATAGTTATGATCATGTGACTAATAGTTATAACAATATGGAAATAATGGGACAATCACTTACTAGTTTATTTTGTAGGTAATTAACAAAGGAGATCAAAAATCATGACACTAAACATGTAGTACAAACAAAAGAAAGCAGATTTGCACATTATTTATAAACAAAATAAAAGTTCATTCGGTGAACTTAATCAATTACTGACCTGTTATACCTTTACCAGTCAAAATGGAACATGAATAATATTCTGTATAATTAGATGGGCAGACTAATGGTAAACGGACAATAACAAAATGGAAGTGAATAAAAATTCAGTTTTCAGGGTTATTTTGTTATTTCAAAAACAAGAAACCATAAAAAAAGATGTGTTTTATTAATTGTTCATCAGTGATTTTTGCTCTGCAAGGCTAACATATACACATGATTACCCAAACAAAAAAAGAAGTTTCTAGAAATTACTACTCAGAAGTTATGAAGCCCCGAATCTTCAACCTCTGATTTCTCAATATCAGCAAAAATGCAATTATGACAATGTGGAAATTAGGGGACGAAATGTTGGATGTTTGACAAAGATATCGATCACGCAGACTAGACATGAACTTTCTTGATGCCACAAATGGCCCATCCATTCTGAGAATCATCAATTGAGATGGTTTGTTGAACATACTACAGTAAAATCTGTGTTCAAACACTATTGCTATCATACATTTTTTATATATCTCACCAATGTAAAGATTAATTAGAATGCTATCTGGCAATAAGTTTGAAAAAGTGGACATTTCACTTTTGAATTCTATTGAATTTTAAAAATTCAAATCTTTTAATCCCAAAAGTTAGGTTCTCTATAAAAATTCTTGAGCTATCATCAGTAGTCAGTACATACACACAGTGTTCATGTAAAATATGCATAAGCTATTCTCACATTATAAAGTGGATGTAGCTTTCATATTGAACGAAGAAATGTTATGTTCAACTAACTTAAAAACCATTGTCAAAGATAACTAAGCAATGCTATTATTCTTGTTTGAACGAGACTACAAACTTGGACATATACAAACAATGAAATGTATGGTTACCATGTAGACATGTTTAATGTGCCACTTTCAGGTATAAAACATTAAGGATGGGAGATAAAAACACAGATTTGAGTCAATCACTTTGATTTTTGTTGATATTTGGCCATCCTTATTATAGCTACACAAAAAATATGCTTTAAAAATATATGAGGATTGAGGTTGCATACTGAAGATCTTCAAAGATCAACAAATATGAAAGTGACTGACTCAAGTATGTGTTTTTATCTCCCATCCTTAATGTTTTATACCTGAAAGTGGCACATTGAACATTTCTACATGGTAACCATACATTTCAGAGTCTGAAATAAGAATGCTTGACAGAAAATGGGCATGGTAATGATTATAAATGGGCATGGTAGTGATTTAAAATCATATGTTAAAGGTCATCTGTGGTATAATTTTTACTTCTTCATAACTCATTTTTTGTGGAAAAGGACTAATTTGATTTTTTAAAATGTTTTCTCAATGTTGTTTTTCATCAATTTTTACAAAGCAAAGGTCAATATTGGTATTCAAGAAACCATTATCTTTCTAATGGTATATTCAAACCTTAAGACAAATTGTTTTATTCTTTTACTGCCTTTTTGCTCATACAAATTGAAACTAGTAAAGGTTAAACACAATGTAAAACATAAAATTGTTCACGTTTCTTTAAGCAAAATTGCAAAAAAACTAGAAAAGCATTGACTGAAAAAGTTCTAGAAAAGAGCATACAGATATAAATCAAGAACACACATGTGGATTTACTTTTGACTCTGATATGTATGCATATATTGTTTATTGTAGAATTCTATCAAGTTTCATTCAAGGCCGGGTTTACAAGTACTTAGTAAGCTGCCTTTTTGACCTACTTTAGTATTTGTATACATGTAGTTAATTAAACAATCTATTCTTTGATTTGTGTTTTTCTAACATGCCCTTTGTGCTTTTCAACATTTCAAGATTGTGAATCTAGATGTACATGTATTACTTCTAAATATGCAAATAAAAACTTCAGTTGATAACACTGATACTTGAGCCTAAGATTTGATGACAATTAAAATGAGATATCATATCTATATATTGACTTTACAATTACAAGTGATGCTATTGTATTCAACTGTCAACACTCAGTAGACACCCTTGGTATACGCAGCTAACGAAAATTGACCGGTACGGGTCAAAAGCTGGACCGGTACGGGTTAACGGTTTTATTTGAATTTAAAACAGCCATAACTTGCTCAATATTGACTTCCTCGTGTCTATAGACTGTCTCATTTTCACGATAACTTTTATTTAGTACTTCTAACATATAAGATCTATTTTTCCCCATCAAGGTATGATGTAAATGACATGCTATTTACATCTTGTGAGTTTCAATGACGCGCGTTTGATTTTATACAAAATGCCAAACTTTGTGACAAAGAATTTCATCCTGCTTGCAGCGAGAAGACGGACCGGTTCAGGGTAATAGCTGATGAAATTCTTTGTCACAAAGTTTGGCATTTTTTATAAAATCAAACGCGCGTCATTGAAACTCACAAGATGTAAATAGCATGTCATTTACATCATACCTTGATGGGGAAAAATAGATCTTATATGTTAGAAGTACTAAATAAAAGTTATCGTGAAAATGAGACAGTCATTCTCGAGGGAAAAGAGCATAAATGCGCATTTAGAGAGTTTTGGTCCGTTTAAAAATTTGTAAAAATTTGAGGTACTTAAAAGCATCGGGAGGCATCATATATTTCAAATTAGACACGAGGAAGTCAATATTGAGCAAGTTATGGCTGTTTTAAATTCAAATAAAACCGTTAACCCGTACCGGTCCAGCTTTTGACCCGTACCGGTCAATTTTCGTTAGCTGCGTATACCAAGGGTGTTTATGTAACTTATTCAGAAAGGTTGATATATCGAGTGATTCAAAAAATATAATCGCATTTGAACGATAATTTCATCTCAGTTATAGCTATCTCATTTTAAGCCCAAGAACTGCCTTGGTCACATTTGCGCCGATTTTCAGTACGGCGTCCGGCCGATTGAGTATTTTGTTCAAAATTGAATACAATATTGAACGAAACACTCAATCGGCCGGGCGTCGGCTGATGGATCGGAGCATATGTGACCAATGCATTCAGAAGTAATTTGGATAGAGACTCAGTAAAATAGGCTAGCCATTAGACAAACTGAAATGTATTTTGATTTTGATGAACTAGTAAGACCGGAATTAAAGTACTCAATTGAAGTTTATCCAGGCCCATAGCAAGAATTTGAAGGGGATTTCTCTTTTTAAAAAATCTAGGTGCCGTGAATTCGTACGATCCGCGAGGCGATCCGGATAAATTTCGCTATTTTTCGGCTTTTATAGCCCATTTATTTCATTTACATTATACACAATATACATAATAATATATTAAAGTAGAAAAAACTTGCGCCGGAAAAAAAAAGAAAATAAAGGTAGATGTCACATTGGTAAGGAGTTTTTTCATTTTTAACACAGTTTATAAGTTATATACTCTTTCAAAGAGTTTAATCGTAACTTATTTTGAACTTTTCGGTCTAATTCTCTTAGATTAAAATTCCAAATGTGTTCTGTATTAAATTTTCCAATATATATTTTCCATAATTTAGCCTATTTATTTTTAGGTTCTGTTTGTGTGAGCTTTGCGATCCATTTGATTTTTAGGTCTTCTATGTAGGATTGAGATGGACCATTTTCAGTCCACTTTCTTCTCTGTTTCCCATTATTGTACGTCGTGCTATCTTATCTTGTTTGTTGCTCCATATGAATTTATAGAAGCTTGACTCTATGTCTTGAATAAGGTCTTCTTTTGGCATTGGTAGAACTGTTGCCATGTAAGTAATTTGGGAAAGAAGTAAAGATTAACTAAGGTGATTTTTCCAAGTGGAGTAATGTCTCTTCCTTTCCATGACTTAATTATGTCTTTAATTCTCTTTTTAGCTTTTGGGTAATTCAGGTCTGCAATGAGTTGTCTGTTTGATAAAGGTATTGTGATCCCAATCATGGTTACTTTATCTGCTGTAAATTTAATATTTAGTTCTCTACATGTTTGTTCTGTCTGTTGTTGTGCTTCTGGTTCTAAGCTTATATCTCCAATAATACCGACATTCGTTTTGTTTTTGTTTATTTTTAAACCTGAAGTTTCTCCAAATTTTTGGAATAAATTTATTGCGTTTTTCACTGATTCTGTTGACCTAAGTAACAGTGTAGTGTCATCAGCGTATTGGGATATTTTCTATTTCTGTGTCATCAGCTTTGACTCCTTCTATTCATATATCTTGTTAATATTTCAGGGCATAGAATGAATAGGTATGGGCTCAGTGGGCACCCTTGGCGTACTCCTCTTGAGACGTGAAAGTAGTCGCATGTGTAATCATTATTTATTACGGTGCTTACTGCATTTTTATAGAATGTCTGGACCAATTAACATATATCTGGTCCAAAATTAAAGTACACGAGAGTTTTTTGTATGAAGTCCCATTCAATGGTATCAAAAGCTTTTTCAAAATCAATGAGCGTGATGATTCCCCATGTGTGATGTATTTCCAAATGTTCCATGCTCTCAATAATTAATCGTATATTTTCTCCATTGTGTCGGCCTTAAATAAAACCTGTTTGGTCCATCTTGATTATAGCTCTTGTAGCGATTTTAAAGTCAATATTGAGGAGACTTATTGGTCGCCAATTTTTTAAGTCCAAAATATCTTTAGCTTTCTTTGGAAGTAGAGATATGACAGCACGTCTTTGTTATGTTGACATTTCGCCGTTTTGAAAAGAAAAGTTAAAGCTTTCTTTTATAAGATTTACAATGTCATTTTTGAAGTGCTTATAAAATTGACTTGTGAAGCCATCTGATCCCGGGGATTTATTATTTTTTAAAGCTTAAATTTGTTCCAAAACCTCTTCCTCTGTTACTTTGCCTTCGCATGACTGTTATCCATTTCTGTTAAATGTTGTAATAGTTGATAAATTTCGCTAATGATGCATTGTGGGATTGTAGAATTAATCCAAAAATCGGTGAATTCGTACGATCCTGGGAATAATCTTAGCCTAAATCCCCGGTATAAATCCCAATCCACCTATTGAGGTGGATTTCTTTTTGGATAAATTTTTTTCCGAATTCCATTTTAATCTTAGGGATTCCCCCAAATCTTAGGATCGTACGAATTCACCAAATATTAGCCTCATCAAAAAAGATAAAATTTATCCAACGGTCCGGGGGGTTCACTTTTGACAAAATTGGCCCGAGAAGTGTCCAGAATAGTAGAAACTGCATGACTCTTTGAAAGAAATTTTTGCCAGGGGGGGGGGGGGGGGTCGCCCTGTGGGCCTGCTATCTGAAAAGTAAAATGCACTGAGAAAAAATTAGACAGCACATGCTATTATAACTACCGGATTTATCTTACCTTGGTTGTATTAAGGCCTAGGTTTTAAAAACTAATAGGAATACATGTACATGTGCACTACTGTGGCTAAATGTAGAAAAAAAAAATCCTGCTTTAGGTGGAATAAGTAGGGGTCCTAAGATTATTTTTTCAAATAGAAGCTAACAAAAATTGTCATTTACACTCAACTTCTCATACGTCTAGTTTCCGTTGTCATATCTCCAATGTTCCAATGCAATATATCCACCATAGTCCGTTGTCATATACAACCATATGCCGTTGTCTTTGGGAATTCAGATTCCGTTGTCATTGACGATATCGAAGACGTTATATTGTGGCGATTCACGACACCATTTGATCGAAATCGGAATTTCATATATTACATTATCACAAGAGCTTAATACATGCACAGAATTAGCTACGATAAGCTCCCAAGAAACGAGGATCAAGTGATTGAAGAGTTGAATCGACGGTTATGTCCGCCATTTGTGACAACGGCATCTGACTTTACCGTAGTCAGGCTAATCCGGTGTGAATTGGGGATTTGTAGAAAATAGACCTGACAATGTGGAATAACTCAGTTGATCTTGCATACTCTGCCTTTCAGAATTATTCAGTTCATAAATGTTAATTTCGGTGGGAGTTTGATGCTTATATTTCATGCTTTCTAATTTTCCAATTTTTTTCTCAAAGTTTCCTGACAACACTTGAGTTAAGTTACCATTGACCTGTTTCCAGGTTTACTAAAAGAAGACAATGTCATGATACTTTCCTGAAAAAACAAGGCAATTACACATGGATGGCTTCATACTTTATTTTGTGCCAGATTTAATAACATGTGCAGGTATAGCATGTTTTCAAAAATGTTTTCGTTCCACCAGTACCTTACACGGCGGTTTTTGTAAAAATGTGCTCTTGCATTTCAGGGCCTACTTGGTGTAAGATAGGTGGCGCTGTAATAGGAGGTGTTGGTGCTGTTGCAGCAGCCCCCTTTGTTCTAACAGCTGCAGGATTCACAGGTGCAGGAATAGCAGCAGGATCTGTCGCTGCAAGTGCAATGTCAGCAGCAACTACATATGGCGCGGGAGCAGGGGCAGTCGCTGCAGGTATCCAATTTTGCACCACTTAAACATTTATCAACGTCTTTTCGTGACTAGTGTTTGGCATTTGTCATTAATGTAACAAATTGTAAATATACCCCACTTCCAGACTGGGTGTAACAAGCAGATAACATTCTGATTGTTTATTTGTTCTAGCGCAATCAGCTGGTGCAGCAGGAATCGGGGTTGCTACCAAAGTGGTAATTGGAACGACGGCTGCTTATGCTGGCTCTAAGGTATACATATGTTGTACATAAAGTATCTATGATTCAAACTTATTTTTGATTGACATGGAATTTGTTGTAAAATGACGATAAGCAAAAATATAATATGGTATATATAGTACCCTACACAAGTTTTTGTGACATATACTTTGAAAAATACTGAAGAAAAAGAGGTTTTAGCTTATGAATTTTTGTATGCGTTGTCCTTGCATAATTTGTGACATTCATCATCTTTTCATTTACAAAGGATACAGGTAGGTATCGATATGGAGAACTGAATTCAACAATGTTTTTCTCTTAAACCAATCATTGAAAACATTCTGTAAAAAACATGATCTTTTATGTAATGTTGACTGATTGACAACAATTTAATGCGAAAATTATTTAGAAATATTTTATATAACTGTTTTTGTTAACATTTTTTTTAGTGCAATTGTTTTTGCTCCTTTCTACCAATTCTTGAGAATGAAATAAAATGTCTTTCCGAACCTTGTTGGAACAAAATAGCATATACAACGTGTTTTTAGACCTCTCAGTATTAAAGTTATACAAATGAATTTTTGGTTGATTTTAAAAAAGTATTCAAAAAATTAAAACAAAATCCCCAAAAAAGATAAAAATCAAGAAAAACCTTTTATTTCATTAACTAGATACTTTTTAAAAATCAACCAAAATTTCCTTTGTACAATTACAATATTGAGAGACCTAAACATGTTGTGTTTATGTCGTTTTGTTCCAATGAGGTTCGGAAAGATGTTTCATTTCATTCTTGAAAGATGATACCAAGAACAAAACAAGTGATCGGTGTGTTTTTTAAAACAATATAGATGAAAGTATGTATATCTATTTCAAATTATATTGTTACCACTCAAAAGATGGCCATTAAATTGACTATTTGTAAGATTTTCAGAAATTTTTGATGACTGGTTTAAGAGAAACGTGTCTTCAAAAAGTTCGCCATATCGATACCCATTCTTTGAGTAATATTGTTTTAATATGAGTCATTTTAAAACATATGGTTCCATGACTACAGAATAAAACAAGGCCAGGTTGTCAAAGTTATTCACCATTCAAAATTTCAGGTAGCTGAAAAAGTTGGACCATGTGACAATGACGTTGGCGGTGATGCATCGAACAGTGGGGAGTGTAAAAAATAAAATAAGGGCATTCTACTTGAAAGTGTGTTTTCTATCCTATCGATTATGCAATACTGCACCATGCCAGGGAGTACTGACTTTCGTTCATACAGTTAAGTACCCCGAACTGGATGTTTTACACACTTTTAACTAAAACGCCCATATCGAAAAGACAATAAGATCTAGAAGCTTAGAGACGAATGGAATGAAAAAATTGATTTTGAGGAGAATTGAAAATTATTGGTTAGATGCGTATATGCTTCCAAACAAACTCGATTGATTAAAAAATAATGTACCCTTTTTGTCAAAGTGTTGATATATATTTGATTGTGGATATTAAAGACAAATTCCATGTGTATACCAATGTAGATGTACACTGATATATGTTTTGTTTTATCAGATGTCTTATTCTAATGTACTGTGAGGAATCATCAACCACATAGGCGCTACCATTTCAGATTTTGAAATGTTGTAGTAGATCGCATGTGGTGCGAAATGCTTCCTCTGAATATATGGAATATTAACCGGCAATATATCCGCATATATCTGTCCATTTACTTCATGAAAAGATAGCCAAGGTATGTTATTAGGAACAATGTTTCTTGATATTTCTTGTATCAATATCCTCAGATATAGTTATTTTGTCATATTCACATGGAATCAGATTGTATTGCATTGATAATTCGTTAGAAATATACCAGAGGTAAAAATGTTTATATTTAGTTATTTTCTAATATTATGATATAGACAGTGGAATCAGTGGAATGGAAAACACTTCGGTACCTTTGAATCCAAAAATGATCAACATTTATAGGTTTTTCTAGCTTTTCTGCAAATTTTCACTGACAATGATGAATTGGTATAATGGGAATTATAGAACAAAAGTTCAATACTCACTCGTCCCCTTCCATTGATGACTGTTTTCACCGACTTCCCAAGGCCAGTGAAAGATACCATTTGTTCACCCGCTAATACTTCATTGTCGCACGACCACGACGTTTACGATTATTTTTCGTCCCATCACCGTATTAATTTGTGGATCAGAAACTCTTGTGTAAAAAATCAAAATACTTCTCTGGGTAATAGTGCTACGGCCAAGGCGATTTGTGTCCAAAACACCTAGATTCAATTTGACTTTAGATTCTTGTAGGGGACCCCAAGGCATGTAAAAAAAAGTTTGTGAACCCTTGCAAAGCAGGCTCAAAAGTGCTGAGTCAGCAAATTTTATTATTTTCGAGTTGGAGTTTGACCATGACATACTTTAAATATATTCCAAGTGTTCTTCTATAATTGCATAGATTCATGAGCAGTTTGCAACATATTATAACCAGAAAAGCCCAATGGACAAAGATAGAGAATACCCGCCCCATTTGCAACTCAACTTTAAATGTCTAATTTTTAGACTTGTATACTCATGAAGTTTCTGACACATCTGGACTGAAAAATATCAAATAATACTTAGTATTGAACTAGAATAGCGACAACTTTGTTAAAGTCTATACTTTGAAATTGTTTGGTTTTTATATTTCTGGTTATTTTTCAAAATTAATGGGGTAAGGGAGATATGTAAGCTCTAATATAATGACAGGCTTTCCAATATACATTTTAAATACCTTAAATCAAAGTAGGCAGGCAAAAGAACAGATTTGATCAAGAATTCATCAACCAATCAGCATAAAACTCAAGATATAAGGAACTATATGTTATTGCTAAAAGTTGAAATGATAAAAAAATAAATATAAGGAACTATATGTCATTACTAAAAGTTGAAATGATGAAAAATTACAAGTTTTGTTCTTAAATGTCTAATTTCTCGACACTAGTATACTAATGAAGGTCCTAAAAAAATAATTATAGCATTCAATAACACATAAAGAATGGCTACATCTTTGTTAAAGTTTATACTGGTAGTTTGAAGTTATTTTTTATATTTTCCGGCCATCTTCCCTAATAAATGGGGAAGGGGAGATCTGAAAGCTCTAATATGAACATTGTTTCTCCACTATACATTTTCAGTACCTTAAATGGAATAAGACATGTACAAGAACAGATTTAATCAAAAATGCATCAACCAGTCAGCATAAAACTCAAGATATCAGGATCTATATGTTACTGCCGAAAGCAGCATTGATTAAAAATGCCAAGTTTTGTCCAAAGTCTCATTTCTAGCCACTTGAATACCAATAACAGTTCTGAAAAATATTAAAAACATTAAATAACACATAATATTGATATAGAATAGCTACAACTTTATGAAATTCTATAATTTCAAGTTATTTTATTTTTTCATATTTCTCGTTTATTTTCCATAATTGATGGGGTAGGGGAGATCTGAAAGCTCTAATATGAACATTGTTTGTCTACTATACATTTTCTATACCTTAAATGGAAGAAGACATGCACAAAAACAGATTTGATTGAAAATGTAACAATCAGACAGCATAAAACTCAAGATATGAGGAACTATATATTACTGCTGAAAGCGAAAATGATGAAAAGAAATGCCAAGTTTTGTCCTTAAATGTCTCATTTCTAGCCACTTGTATACCGATATAGGTTCTGAAATATCTTGAAAACATTAAATAACACATAATATTGACATAGAATAGCTACAACTTTGTTAAAGTTTATAATTTCAAGTTATTTTATTTTTTTATATTTTTCGGTAATTTTCCATAATAAATGGGGTAGGGGAGATCTGAAAGCTCTCATACGAGCATTGGTTGTCCACTATACATTTTCTATACCTTAAATGGAAGAACACATGTAAAAGCACAGATTTAATCAAAAAAGCAACAACCAGTCAGCATTTAAACTTGAGATATAAGGAACTATATGTAAATGCTGAAAGCGAAAATGATTAAAAATGCAAAATTTTGTCCTTAAATGTCACATTTCTAGACACAAGTATACTAATGAAGGTCTTGAAACATCTGAGAAACCTTACATAACACAAAATATTGATATAGAATAGCTACAACTTTGTTTGAGTTGAACATTTTGACTTCTTGTAGTTTCCATTTTTAGCCAATTTTTTCTAAAAAATTCAAGGTATGTCTTCTTCGGACCAGTATTTAGATATGTTCGCAAGAGTTATATGCTTCGCAGGCGAAATCCTTTATGCAGGACACCCTAATAGAATAGAAAATACACAGAAATTCCATCCAGCTCAAAAAGTCATTTTTTCCTTAACGGAGCCTCTTAGAAAATTTTCCACCCCGAGTAAAATCTAGTCTTCCCATGCCCGACTGAGTTTTCAGTTGGATATTTAAGCCAGAATCTCCCATTGTACGCACATCTGCTAATAAAGAATAAGATAAAAACGGTAAAATCAAATCAGTTTTTCCATTAAAGGGTGACGCATATCGTTTAGCAAATCGAACGCTCGTTTCTGGTGTTGCTCACCGTTTAGTATAAAAGGCCCGATCCCGAATAATACTCAAGGGTTCACAGGTTCGATGTCGTTGTGTCAACACCTCTAACTGTTATATAGCATAAGTATATTATAGATCGTCACACATTTATAAAAGGGTGATTTTTATTTTGACAAATCAATTCCACATTTATGGGTGAAGTTTCAGGATCTTCTATTTGTGTATAATAAGGAAAAATTGGCATCTAAATTTCGCCATAACGTAATAGCACACAGCTTGGCATATGAAATATCCTACAAATGAAACAAAGCAGTTCTAATACAATAATTTATATTGGCTGTTGTACACGTATTCTTTGAACGCAATCACTCTATGGATAACGTTTTCAAAATCATTATAAACGGATTACTTTATCTCAAAGACAATTTCTATAAACTGGATTTTACAGAACTCCCCTTATTTCTTAAAAATGGACTAATCCAGTTGATTCGCCTGGAGCGGCCATATTGTTTTTATACGGGATGCTTATCGGAACCCTTTAAACGAGGCATTTGTGTTGCAAATTGTCATATGAATCTTATCAATACACTGTAGACAATTTTTGTTTCTCGCATACCTAGTTTCACCTGTGATTTTACTTTGATACACTTGGACGTCGAACAGCCCGGTTTTGCTGTTTTTACATTTTGGAAAACATATTTTTACATCGACAGGTACGCATTTTCGCATCTTTGTGGTGCCTATTGGATGTTTTCTACTACACATTGAGTCTTTGAAATAACATTTAATCTTAGCAAATAAATAAGTCAAAGAAGTTCTGGTTGGGGGCTTAAAAAACATTGTCACAGTTTTGCATGCATAGCCTTGTCCAAGGCGGTATTTTTTTTTTACTAATCTGATCTGGAATTATTACCGGCGGTCATAATAGAAATCAATATAAGTAAAAGAGACCGACTTGGGCAAGGCTAAGTTTTGCAGTACTTTGCTAATATTATTCCATGTCAAGCCTATTTTCTCAAAAGTCCGACAGTTCTGATTTTATTTCAGCATAGTCTTCCGATTTTGGCAAAATATTGAATTATAGGACGTTCCTCTTTAAACATACAGGGTGATCAAAAACTTTAATCTTTGTTAATCGTACGCAGAACATTTATTTCTCAAAAATTTACCAGATTTTTACTGAGCACAATTGAGTCCATTGTTTATTTGCTGTTTGCAGGTGCAATCCACAATGTTAATGCATTAAACTAGTTAATATTTGAAAGGACCACTTTTCTTATATTTTATTATCTTAAATAACTTTCTTATCAAGGACGTCTATCTTCAGAGATAAACTCCCTTGCTTAAATATACACATTTCGCTGTTATATGCTTTTAAGAATATCTTGCTTGCTAAAATAAAATAACATCGACCGGAGGTGTTTATATACTAATATATACATTTTTATCGGAATTGAATTGAATTTGTGAACGAGGCACGTTCTGGTACTGTGTTCGCCCTTGATTATTTCGACGAGGGTAACAATGTTGGCTTCCAGACGAAGATGGCCGAAAATTTTTCAACCCTAACCCTAAACATATTCCTAATATATTGCTAATATATAAACCCTAGTCCCTAATTATATCCAAAAAACACTTCCCCTTATCTCTAACCCTAACACTAACTTTAATCTAAAAAAGAATCGGCACGCTCGGCTATCTCCGGTTGAATACCATCGGGGCTCTCCTATTTCGACGAAGCAGGAAGTTTATCAATTCTCAGCAGTTTGCACCTTATTATTTGCAATTTACAAAGTACAGTACACATCAGTTCTCATTTTAATTCTATACCATAAAATGCATAGGAAATTAGAAGTTACTATGTTCCTCGTCTTATTGTTGACAGGAACAGTTGCAGGGGCAAAGAAAGATGACGATGGTTGTAAGTTATTAGCAATCGGGGAATCTTTTTTAGTGTTTTTCTTATTAAGTAAATCATTTATAACCTTATCGATATACAACGAACGTAGTATAACGATAAATAACCGCCATTTACTGTTTTTTGGTAAATTTTTGACCTCTGTTAATGGCAGGCATAATTCAGCCTAAAAGCTAGAATTATATTATTTACGGTTATAATAAAATTATTGGGGAACATGTGTAGGTATGTTAATGTTAGGTCAAATATCGCTGCGCTATAGTGTGCTACCAGCTCCTTTATTAGACGTCCTAGAGATTTCATACCTTGGACTACAAGTCGACGTCGAAACACCTAGAAAAGGATACAAACAAACAAACCAGCGGGTCAAATTAATTTTTCTGGCTGCTTGAATCGATAAAATCTCTGATAGTGTGAGTCTTTTTATGAAAACGTTTCTCATAGAAATCGCTTGACAATAGTACAATAACGTCATTTCTAAGGGCAATATAGTGAAATATCGGACCGAGGGCCGAAGGCCGAAGGTCCAATATTTCACTATATTGCTCGCAGAAATGACGTTATTAGTATTATTACCACCGTTAACGACCAGGACTGAAACAGCAAAAAAATCGTACGCATTGAACGATATCTCATTTCCCGGGGAAAATTACCGGTCCGGAATATATTCTAGACCGGTCCATATGGACCACCACTATGACGTCACACATTTCTCAGGTCGATAAAGTAAAATGAACGCCTTCTAAACTAGCACCAAAACCCCTAGAACTGGCCCGGCAAGGTGGTAATAATTATTAGAAAGCATTAAAAGTCGAATCCAAAGCGTAATCTGAAATAAAAGTGAAAAAATATTGCACGGACGTTAGAGAACAAACTTCTGGTTTAATAAAAATGGCGAAGACGAAGAAATAGAGGATTTTCTTTTGCCATTATCGATCGATATAAGGTATGTGCACAAACTCTAGTTGCATATATGGAAAATATATACATTTCTAAAGGCTTTAACACATTCGAAGCTTTCCTTTTACGATAGGGCCAGGATCACTGGATACGACAGTTAATCTGTGACCTCTCATTAGTGTGTTTAAGAAGTGTTGATTTCGTTGGTCACACCAAGGGCGTTACAATACCCGGGAATTTATCGGTTCGTCCAGTACTTGTTTGTGATAGCGCCCTCTGTAGGTCACTGTGCTTATAGCCTACAGTAATACGGGGTAGGATATCGGGAATTCGGTCAGTTTCTATCCGTCGATTTCGCTATGAATTGAAGCAAGTGTGACCACTTTATCCACTTAAACAATTTGATAATTGATTAAATCTTTAAACAAAATCGATAAACACGTTATACACTTCCTATCTCCTTAGAAATTAGCATGTATTTATGGATTGTGTTTTCGAACAAGGCTCGACCCAGCCCAATAGGGAAATCCTTATGCTAATTAGTATGACGTCATATTTTCCTGGGGAATCCTAGATTTCAAGGCCTCAGTCTGTTATTGTGTCAAATGTAAACGCTCTTGGGACGCTCTTTTGCAGACAGAAAATTGACAGATTAGCTTTTAACTTTCAGCTTTGATGTTTAAATATTCTGTATTTCTACCGGACTTCTTGCTGAATATCATATAATGTTATAACTTGATTTGGATCATTGCCTGATTGATCATTCTGAAATTTTGATTGTGATTCATGATTGATTGGCAAGAAAAATAATTCCTATTGTTTTCCAGCGAAGTCAAAATGTTACAGCATGAGTTATAATGTCGAGTTTGCATCATGTTAAATTCTGCTAGTGATTAGAAGTCAATGCACAAGCATACACATAAGAGACAAACACACCCAGGCTCCAGGCCGTGGATGGAAATATAAAACTATTTAAGGCACAAACTGGTATTAATATACCGATATGTAGTGTCTGCCATGTATTGAAGGTAAACCAATCTGTATTATTAATGTTTCTTCTATCAATACATGGGTTGTGCAATAGAAAAGCAATGGCACAATCAAAAATGTGCATATCAATCGTGAATATCTCTCGGTTCAAAGCTTATTTCCAACAGAATCGTGTCAAAATATGTGTCTGAGTAACAGTTATACATTATAAGATCGCAAACTCTTACCAATTATCAGCCGAATGGCTCATTTTCAACGAAATGTCCTTAAGACAACAGCCCTGGGTCGCGCCTGAGACCAAAAACTACTTCAAATAGCCCTCCCCTAATTATATTGGATAATCACATTTATGCGTGCGCGCGCAGCTCATCCAATGAACGAAACGCCACTTCCCGCTGAAATCACCGGGTATTGATCTTTCCCTTGGTCACACTATATATTATAGTACTAATTATAATTATTCAATGTCGGTAAATAACTTTTAAGGTTATTGACCCCCTCCCTCTAACTGTTCAAATACAGTTGATTTTCTGACGTTGATCTTTTGAAATGCTACCTTATTGACTGATATTTATTTGGCTATAAATTCACAATCATCAACCAAACAATTTGAACTAATATCTTGATCTCTTCTTGCGTGTTTGAATTTTTTTGTAATAAGTACCAAAACTCGCAATTCAAATTCTGAATGGAGAAAGATTGAGAAATGGCCACTGTTTAAAATTTGAATTTCATACACAGCGATGATGCCCCTATATGGCAGAATATCGGAATTGCATCCTGGGAGCCAATCCTACTTGTTTTAATGTTGGTTCTGGATATTGGTTAAGGTACTGTACTGGTGAAACGAAAACATTAAAAAACTATATACCTGCACATGTTATTTTTAGAACAAAATAAAGTATGAAGGCATGTGTGTATTTCCATGCTTTTTCAGGCTTCCTTTAGTTAACCTGGTCAGAGGTCAATAACAAGTCCAGGAAATGATAATATTTCATGTTGTTTCCGGGTTTACTAAAAGAAAACATCGTAATGATACGTCCCAGAAAAAAGCAAGAAAAGAAACACTTTCTTTTGTACCAGAAAATAACATGGGCAGTTAAAGCAATATTTTCAAAAATGTTTTCGTTCCACCAGTTCCTTAACATCGCGTTCCATCTGTACCTTAACACGGCGCCTTTTGTAAAAATGTGCTCTTGTATTTCAGGGCCAACTTGGTGTAAGATAGGCGGCGCTGTAATAGGAGGTGTTGGTGCTGTTGCAGCAGCCCCCGCTGTTCTAACAGCTGCAGGATTCACAAGTGCTGGAATAGCAGCAGGGTCTGTCGCTGCAAGTGCAATGTCAGCAGCAACTACATATGGCGTGGGAGCGGGGGCAGTCGCTGCAGGTATTTATCCAATTTTGCACAACTTAAAATGGTAAACATTTATCAACGATTTTTTCGTGACGTGTGTTTGGCAATTTTTCATCGAGGTAACACATTGTAGAAATACCCCCCCCCCCTTCCATTCAAAGACTGAATGCAACAAGCAGATAACATTCTGATTGTTTATTTGTGCTAGCGCAATCAGCTGGTGCAGCAGGACTCGGGATTGTGACCAAAGTGGTAATTGGAACGACGGCTGCTTATGCTGGCTCTAAGGTATACATATGTTGTACAAGTATCTATAATTCAAACTTATTTTTGATTGACATGGATAATGACACGATAAGTAAAAATATATTATAGTATATATAGTACCCTACACAAGTTTTTGTGACATACTTTGAAAAATACTGAAGAAAAAGAGGTTTTAGCTTATGAATTTTTGTATGCGTTGTCCTTGCACAATTTGTGACATTCAATATCTTTTCATTTACAAATTTGAGTAATATTGTTTTAATATGAGTCATTTTAAAACATATGGTTCCATGACTACAGAATAAAACAAGGTCAAGTTGTCAAAGTTATTCACCATTCAAAATTTCAGGTAGCTGAAAAAGTTGGACCATGTGACAATGACGTTGGCGGTGATGCATCGAACAGTGGGGAGTGTAAAAAATAAAATAAGGGCATTCTACTTGAAAGTGTGTTTTCCATCCTATCGATTATGCAATACTGCACTAGCCAGGGAGTACTGACGTTCGTTCATACAGATATGTACCCCGAACTGGATGTTTTACACACTTTTAACTAAAACGTCCATATCAAAAAGACAATAAGAGTTTCTAGTCGCTTACATTAGAGACGAATGGAATGAAAAAATTTATTTTGAGGAGAATTGAAAATTATTAGTTAGATGCGTATGGTTCCAAACAAACTCGATTAATTAAAAAATAATGTACCCTCTCTGTCAAAGTATTGATATTTATCCTATGCCAAGTAGAGTTTTAGGGAGATAACTTGGTAAAATAAATCCCGTATCCTAATTTTGATCCTGAACCTCCATATCTCCCGCCATATCTCCCGCTCCAGGGCATATCTTCCCGCTTCGAAAAAAAATTTGAAAAATTAAAAATTGAAAAAAGGAAAAAATAGAAACAAATTTGAAAAAATTAAAAATAAAATTAGAAAAATGTGAAAAAATTGAAAAAATAAAAAAAAATTGAAAGAAAATTAGAAAACTCTACTTTGTATAGGATAAAGAAGTTATGTACGGTCGGTTTGAATATTGGGTTCATCCCTCGTGAGATATACACATCTACCTTCGGTCCCTACGGTCCCTCAGGTAGATATGCATATCTCCCTCTGGATAAACCCCATATCCAAAACCTCCCAGTACATAACCCTAAATATATTTGATTGTGGATATTAAAGACATATTCCGTGTGTATACCAATGTAGATGTACACTGATATATGTTTTGTTTTATCAGATGTCTTATTCTAATGTACTGTGAGGAATCATCAACCACATAGGCGCTACCATTTCAGATTTTGAAATGTGGTAGTAGATCGCATGTGGTGCGAAATGCTTCCTCTGAATATATGGAATATAGAACCGGCAATATATCCGCTGTCCATTTACTTCATCAAAAGATAGCCAAGGTATGTTATTAGGAACAATGTTTCTTGATATTTCTTGTATCAATATCCTCAGATATAGTTATTTTGTCATATTCACATGGAATCAGATTGTATTGCATTGATAATTCGTTAGAAATATACCAGAGGTAAAAATGTTTATATTTAGTTATTTTCTAATATTATGATATAGACAGTGGAATCAGTGGAATGGAAAACACTTCGGTACCTTTGAATGCAAAAATGATCAACATTTATAGTTTTTTCTAGCTTTTCAGCAAATTTTCCCTGACAATGATGAATTGGTATAATAAGAATTTTAGAACAAAAGTTCAATACTCGTCCCATTCCATTGAGGACTGTTTTCACCGACTTCCCAAGGCCAGTGAAAAATACCATTCACCCGCTAATACTTCATTGTCGCACGACCACGACGTTTACGATTATTTTTCGTCCCATCACCGTATTAGTTTGTGGATCAGAAACTCTTGTGTAAAAAATCAAAATACTTCTCTGGGTAACCTCACATTTTGAATTGAAACGTTGAATAAAATTTAATAAGTAGAAGTAATGTATTATTCGATGAATCTGAGTACTAGTATAAAACAAAAACTTTTGGTCCATGAATGACTCGAATAAGACAAATGAAAGTATCAATGGTTGATGTAGGACTATCTAAATTAGTTCAAGTGTTAAATACCCAAGACGCAAAATACTTCAAACAGAGCATTTGGCGTTCCCGACTCCCTAGGGGTGGCGCGTTACATGCGACCACGCCCCTCTTTTTGAGCGAATTTTACTCTTCCCCGGGGATTTTGTTCACAGTACTGACGATATCACTCGGAGCAAAGAACTACATGTGGTCTGGCGAAGAAGATGAAGAAGCTAGACTTCCAAGTGCAAGCTATATGATGAGAGGGAAACTCTTTTTTTCTTACTCGTAGACCCTTAGGAAAATCCTGGGGATGCCGTATATGATATTTATGCGTTATTTAGGCTCAGAAGTCTATAATAAGTATATTAATATCAGAAAGCTACAATTTCTCACTGGATAAAATTCGATAAATAAATATTAACCTGAGACAAAATCCCCAAATCCAGTTCATTTTGCTTTGTTTACTAAAGCTACGTTCACACCAATGGCGCTTTGATGGCGCTTTAAAGCGGCTTGTAAAGCGGCACCAAAGCGTAACAAAGCTTAATTAAAGCGTTGGGATCGTAATAGGTCGTAGAAAGGCTCGGAGTAAAGCGGGATAATCGGCAAGAGCGCCAAAAACGTTTAAACTGTTTAAAAATTTTGGGCGCTCAGTTACGAATTGATAAAAGCGCCGAGAGCGTATCAAAGCTTAGCAAACCGTAACAAAGCTCAGCAAAGCTTGACCCAAAGCGTAGGAAAGCTTTACAGAGCTTAGTTCAAAGCGGGGACCCCAGTCTCTTCACTGTCTGTTACCACTTCATACGCTTCGTTAAGATGTCTCAAGATTTGCTACGATCTGGCATGAAGATCTGACACGAGGCCAGACGCTTTTATCAATATCTGACACTCTTTGTTACATTTTCATGAAGGACTCTCAAGCTTTCCAACGAATTGAGACGCTTTAATCTAGGATTGAAACGCTTTGCTAGGCTTTGTTACGCTTGACAAGTTTCCACACGCTATATCACGCCGTGTGACAAACATCATGTCTTCATCAGATAGGTCATGCTCTGGTCCACCTGGAATTTCTGGATCTTGTTGTTCTGCCATCGTGTTCTCGAGTCAAAGATGCAATGGTTTTATGGATCTACTGCATCTTTATATAGTTATTGGATCAAAAGTGGCATGAAATCGGCGATCTCGACATTTTCAAATGCGTGACAGAGCTAAACAGAGCGTAACAATGCACAACAGAGCTTGGTAATCGTATCAGAGCCTGATTTAAAGCGTCATTATCGAATCAAAGCGTAATAATGCTTATCAAAGCTTATCAAAGCGTGATTTCAAGCGTAACAAAGCCTGGTCAAAGCGGGATCAAAGCGTGAGGAACCTATCAGAGCTATGTTAAGCTTTCTTACGCTTTGGATCAAGCTTTTCTGAGCTTTGTTACGGTTTGTTAAGCTTTGATACGCTCTCGGCGCTTTAATCAATTCGTAATAGAGCGCCCAAATTTTTAAACAGTTTAACATTTTTTGGCGCTCTTGCCGAATATCCCGCTTTACTCCGAGCTTTTCTACGACCAAATACGACCCCGATGCTTTAATCAAGCTTTGTTACGCTTTGGTGCCGCTTTACAAGCCGCTTTAAAGCGCCATCAAAGCGCCGTTGGTATGAACAAAAATGACGGCGCTTTGCTCGCCGATTTAAAGCCCCCCTCACATATGAACGAAAACCCCTTTACGTCAACTTGCGTATAGTGGCGAATAGGAAATTAGTCAAATTCGTTCTCATTAGTACGAGTTCGTGACAGTACGTCGCAGTGTTCGTATAGATGCGTTTATCAGCGTTTACCTCGGTTGAAATTAGTCTTTTTCGTCGGAAAATTTTGAACATGTTCAACAAATTGCAGCGAAATTCGTTTCAATGCGTTAACGATCGGTTAACCTTCGCATTGGCTTCGTCAAGTGACGTTACAGGTCGCTGGGGATGAGGTCGTATCCCCATAATTTGCATATCAAGCGACTGACGACGATCCCATTACGAACCATTGCGGCAGTTTGCAACCTTGTACGCAGTGGAACGAATACTTACGAATTGGATCTACGTTAAGCTGAATAATTGAGAGAATACCAAATTAAATCAAATAATTCTTTTGTCATGGAAGACACAGATCGACTGAGGCTGCAGTATGTGGCTGCTATGGCCCAGCAAGAAGTTTTAACGCAGCAACTTAACATTCATGAGTTCATCAGAGGCCGTTTTAGGCGGAAAAGGGGAGTCAGAGGACGTGGCATCTGGAGGAGACAATGGTTGAATCCAGAGAGACGGCGCCAATTCGGCATATATGATCAGCTCATGGTGGAGCTGAGAAGAGAGGACCCCAGACCATTCAAAAAGTTCCTCTGTATGCCAACAGAAATGTATGACGAAATCTTTGAGAGGGTCCGTCCTCGGCTATGGAAACAACATAGCTGGTAGAGAGCCTTTAGGTCCAGGCCTCAAACTAGCTGCCACTATTCGCCACCTGGTTTCTGGTGCCAAGTACTCTGACATGCAGTACTCCTGGCGGGTTGCTGAGAATACCCTCTCTGTAGTGGTAAGAGAAGTCTGTCAAGCTATATGTGACGAATATGTTGATGAGGTCATGACTGCCCCCTCCACACCTGAAGAATGGAAACAATTGGCTGATGGTTTCCTCGAGAAGTGGAACTTTCCAAATTGCGTTGCTGCAATTGATGGCAAACATATAGCCATCAGAAAGCCTAATAGCTCTGGTTCCTTATATTATAATTATAAGGGTTTCTACAGCATCATCTTACTGGGAATTGTCGACTCAGACTACAAGTTCGTGTGGTGTGATCTGGGTGGTGAGTAAACTCTACATATGTTACTGCATTAATTTTGTAATTATATAGATTTAATACAATTATATCTATATTTGCAATGTATACTGACAATATTTTATCCTCTTACTCTTGTATAATTTCAGGATATGGTTCAAGTGGAGATGCCAGGATCTATAATGCATCGGAATTCTTGGAGATGGTGCAGGATGGTTCGATCGCATTTCCACACCAACAGCCATTTCCCAACGACACCGTTGATATGCCTTTTTTCTTGGTAGGGGATGACGCATTCTGCCTCAGTGATCACATGCTGAAGTCCTATGGACATAGAACCCTCACTAGAGAGGAAAGAATTCTAAACTACCGGTTATCGAGGGCTAGGAGGGTTTCAGAAAACGCCTTTGGAATTTTGGCCAACCGATTCCAGGTACATTGTAATTTATAATATTTGTCGGCGAAACAAACAGTTAAACTCCAAGTTCCTGGGACTATCTAGATACGTTTATTCGACTTCGAGTAAATGAGACTTCATTCGAACTTCCGCTAATTGAGACATGAAAATAGTATGTTTTGTTTGATAAATAATTTGAAAGATGCGCATAAATTGGAACCAACTGAGTTCCACATTCGACCTATAACAGTTTAACTATTAATCCGTATTTTCAAATTAATTCAATTTAACGCATAATGACATTTCAGGTACTCCTCTCAACGATGAACCATAAGCCATCCACAGCGAGGCTGATAGTCAAGACATGCTGCATTCTCCACAACTTGATGAGAATGAGGTACCCTACAATGCAAAATGCACTGATTGACCAAGAGGACAGAAGAGGCGACATGGTTCCTGGGGAATGGAGGAGAGATTGCAACTTGGAAGATGTCAGGGCTGTCAATATCAGAGGCCACAACACAGCAAACAAAAAGGGGAAGATTGTGAGAAATACTCTGAAGCTCTGGAGCAACTCTCCAGCAGGAAGTGTACCATGGCAAGACAGGATCGTGCCAAATTAAAGGTTGGACTTTGAGAAATAATCTAAAGCACTGTGTCAACTTGAAATTAAGTGTAATTTGCCTGACATAAAGTGTAAAAACTAGTTTAAACGTATTTTTGTTTTACGAGTCTAATAATAAGAAATGTATTGATATAATATCAAAGGGAAAATACCAAACATGATCAGAAAACACAAGAGAAACAAAATCTTTAAAGTCCCCGTCTAAAGTTTGAAAATATTTTTTTATCATTCATTTACTATTTGTCATGACTTGAGTTATTCTAGAGATTTTAGAAAGAAAAATATTTTTTGAAAAAAAAGTTGTGAGCATTTCATTTCTCAAATATTCAAATTTCCCGCCATTTTTCAAAAAAAGTTGAAATTTTTTAATCATAAAATATTTCTTAATGCATTTCGAAAAAGATTATCTTTTTAACACCAATGCAAAGATTGATCAAAGGACACACTATTTCAATAATAAAATGCCATATTTAATGGGCCACTTCAAAGTTTTAGCATATCAAAAATATTTTGCACCATTTTTCGATGTCAATCTTTTCTAAATATGCTAGACTTCAATAATATACCAATGTTGATTGTCTAACCAGGTTAAAAGGAAGAATATATTATGTTTTAGATATCATTGTACCATTGGTTTATATGTGAACTAGAATTTTTAAATGCATTTTTCTTGGAACCATTTTCATGCACTGATAAGTTCATTTCTCGCTTATTTATGAACCAATTTTCTTAATATTTTCGGCAAAAAACATGCGAGGATGAATGCTATGCATTGGTATGAGTTATGGCTAATTAAAAGATATGTGTGACCTCTAAAAGTTAGTTTTAAATAAATTCACAAATTTTGGAACAAAAAGTCTATCAAAAACCACTTTTTGAAATTTAAAAAAAAAGTTTCACATATCACACTTTGATAACATTGGGTAAGACTACAATATAAGCCAAAGTGGTTTAAACTTTAGATGGGGACTTTAAGCGAATATTGTCATTAAAAACAAACCCCAACTATCCCAAATGAAATTCAAGCGTCAAAAGAAACAGTGTCCAACACCCCTCCCCTTCCATTCTAATATCAAATATTACGACCCAAAACCATAAAACATAGGGATATTTCATTTAAACTGAAGTAATTACAATAATTGCTTGGCATGGTAACCAATTGTACGTGTTAATAACATTCCCAATGGATGATCACTGTATGAATTTCAAATCTGTGTTGACTACGACCTCTTAATTAAGATAGACTATGTTAGAAATGTCAGAAGAGCCATATTACAGGGTGTCCAAAAAAAACAGGACCGTAAGAAAGTTGAATAACTCGGTCAATTTTGCATATTTTGCCTTGAAATTTAAGAATTATTTAGTTCATTCAATGTGAATTTTGTTCTGAAAGTTTGATGATGATCTGTTTATTGTGTCAAAAACTACAGTCCTTTACAAAACACGCTCAAAGTGGGCAGTTCTCCTCTCTATGCACAAACGAACCCTGTGAACAAAGTTATTAATGACCCTTACCTATACACATTAATGTGGATGGTAAATATTGGGGTAGTTATTGCCCTCTTAAGATTGTTAGGGGCCTGTCAGTATACACATCGGCTTTGAGAATTCCTCAAAGATAAAAATTTGGGGGATTAGATCAGGCGAATGAGCTGCCCATATGGTTTGCGTTCTGCAACTGATGAGCTGACCACCAAAGGATTGCCTTTCAGCATATCATTTGCAGTGTTGGGGTGGTATTGGCTTGTTGAAACCGCTGCTTAATTATCTCCTTAGATGTCCCTTCAGGTGCTTAGTGACCTCCAAAACTTGGTGAGAACTTACTGGTCCTTGTTCATGGTGATAGCAAGTCCCCAGTCACCTTCGAACCAAAAGGGACTAATGATTCCATGTTTCCTCATTGCCACCCAGGGAGTGCATTGTTCAGAATGCAATGGATGCTGTAACACTTCATCAGGAGGATGTAAGCCCCAGTAGCAATTGTTCTTGGAACAAACTTGTCCATTCAGAAAGATATGTGTGTAGGAGGATCATCAACAGCTTTGTTCGCCGGATTGAATTGTGCATAAAGATGAGATTTGCACATTTGGGGCATGTTTTGTAAGGAGCTGTTACAGTAGTTTTTGACTCAATCAGTAGATTATTATCAAACTTTCACAACAAAATTCACATTGAATGAACTAAATAATTCTGAAATTCCAAGGCAAAATATGCAAAATCGACCGAGTTATTCAACTTTCTTACGGTCCTGTTTTTTTTGGACACCCTGTAAATACAGGGTGACACCAAAAAATGCCACCCACTTATTTCAGAATGACTTTCTTTTATGTGTAGATAGAGTGTTCAATGGAAGAAAGATTGGTATGCTTGCATTGCATCAATAACTAAGAATAAAGAGATATCACATTTTCCGCGGAGGCATGCTCTGACACAGAATCGTTCGAAAATGTAATTTAGAAATCTTTCTTTTTTTAAATTTACTTAAAAAGTGAGTCAGTTCCTCAAATATAGCACAAATTATGAAGGAAAATGGGTAGATATGACATTTAAATGATAAAATATGTGAAAGCAATACAGAAATGACACAAATAATGGCTAAGAAAGAAATCTCAATTTCAGAAAATTGTATTTTATGCAATTCAAGTACATCAATCTTTGATAAAAAATTACGAAGATTCCGTCGTTATTGACAAAGTTATTCCAGAATAAGTTTTTTGGCATTTTTTGTGTCACCCTGTATATTGCCACGGCAACAGAACATATTGCCAAAAATCTGCTTGATTTATATATGATAGTGTGGTGTTGTCAAGTAAATTGACCTTTACAGTTTTCGCAAAGGTTCGTTTAGATTCGGAAGCATGCGCACAATTGCGCTTTGGTTTGCATGTATGCGTTGTTAATCGCTGACGGGAATCGCTGACGCCTCCTGTTTTCCGTAAGGCTTTGTTCAGATTCGGAAGAATGCGCATAATTACGCTTTATTTCGCATGTATGCGTTATTACTCGCTGAAGGGGATGTCAAAGGTTGTTTGCGAGACGCAACGCATCTTAGCGAAGAAAAGTAGTAATTCGTCACACTTCGTAAAACATTCGCAACAAATAGTTACCTTACATTAGTATTCGTTATGTTTTCTATTATGTAACATATTTTTAAACATTTTCGCTCAATATTCGCCAGAAATGACTAATTTACCACATGCGTCAGGCTGCGTTTGGTGGATTCGTTCATATGTGAGGGGGCCTTTAAGCGTGGCATTCGCCGTTGGTGTGAACGTAGCTTAAGTAAAAATGACAGTCAGAGATAGAAATGTATCTGTTTCATGTAGGCCTATTTGTTTTAACTTCAAATCATCTGTTTATCGCACATAAGCTTTCAAAGGTAGGATAAGTGAATGACAACGAACAGTGAGCATCTTAGTGAGCATTTGTTTCTCAAATATGAGATTTCTGCATTCAATGATGTGATCATACTAATAAGTCATTATAGGTCTTTAGTTATGTCTTCACATGCTTTTTCAATTTATAAAGTCTTAATTTTCCTTATTTCGTTTTCACATTTTGCATTTAACATCAAAACTATCATTGACATGTTCATATTCCTAAATTTAGAAAGACAGCTCTATGAATACATAAAGTCCACTTAAGAAGATAAATGATTTACCAAAGCTCGACGCAAGCTGGGCTTCATCACTTACGTTGCTTGTGGGGGTTGTCCATTTGTCGATATTCTTCAGTTCCTTTTCACCATTAATTTGTCCCTGGGGTATTTTCCCTGTTGTAGTATTTCTGAATGTACAGTAGCGTGTATTGGACACCAATGGAGGATATACAGACTGGAGCACTTTCTCATTATGAATCATTGGGCTTCTCCAATTGGTGACGGAATCATCAGAGACTGTCGCGAAAAATTCTGTTGTCAACACTGTTGGACTTTCTTTAAAACTTCTTATTAAGACAACTCCGACAACTTTAAAAATGGTTAAAATGACTCTATTTACAGCTACGATGACGTCATGTGTGAGGTTACCATCAAATGGGATCAAACAGCGACACGCTATCGCCATTTCTTGCAAAATACATCGACCATCGGCAAGTACAAATGGCAGGGAACATTTAAGAAGACTGGCCCGTGTTCCGTTTATCTTGAAGCGTAAATCTAGTCTTCCCATGCCCGACTGAGTCTTCAGTTGGATATTCAAGCCAGGATCTCCCATTGTACGAACATCGGCTAATAAAGAATAAGATAAAAACGGTAAAATCAAATCAGTTTTTCCATGAAATGAGGCATTTGTGTTGCAGATACCCCCAGGATTACACTGTAGACAATGTTTGTTTCTCGCATACGCATTTTCACCTGTAATTGTACTTTGGTAAGCTTGGACGTCGAATGGTCCTCTTTTACAAGCCTGTATCAATCGATTGGTTTTACACTTTGGAGAACATGTATCATCGACCGGAAAGCATGTTCGCATATTTGGGGTCCCAGTTGATATTTTTTCTACTACGCACCGAGACCTTGAAAGATTGTGTAAGTTTAGTAAGCTGAAGAAAACGCGACTGTCGATCAAGTAGACTGCGTTTTGCTTTTTACAACTTGTTAAAATGTCCCAAAATGATACATTGTGAACATAGTTACACAAGGCGCAGAAATAGTTTCGGTAGATGTCGTTTGTCATTTGATCGGTTACTGGTATCATACTTTCTATGTTTGATGTAGAATGACATTTCTCTACGATATCGTGGTCCTTGTAACCAGGACTACATGAGTATATCATGTAAACATATCTACCAGGGCCAATGTTTCGGCATTCATATGAACCCCCACGTGCCAGTTCATCTTCATGGATTTGTGTAAGTGGTTTTTGATTTCTCGTAATAGTTGTTTCATTGACGCAAGTGTCTCTATAGTCCTTGCAGCAGTCACCATATTCGTTACATTCGTCATCACAGGAACACAAAGAGAGCCATGTCGAGTCGGTGTAATTGTTAACTTGACCGCATCTACCTTGACATGTATTCAAAGTGCAATTAAGGTCAATGTTTTCTTTTGCACATCGATCAATGTCTTCTATTGACTCCTTGGTCTTATTGGTCGTAATTGCAGAAACATTGTCAAAATCAACTGGTTCTATCGTAGCGCCGACTTCTGGATCGATTGGCGTTGTTTGAGCGCCGACTTCTGGATCGATTGACGTTGTTTGAGCGCCGACTTCTGGATCGATTGGCGTTGTTTGAGCGCCGACTTCTGGATCGATTGGCGTTGTTTGAGCGCCGACTTCTGGATCGATTGGCGTTGTTTGAGCGCCGACTTCTGGATCGATTGACGTTGTTTGAGCGCCGACTTCTGGATCGATTGGCGTTGTTTGAGCGCCGACTTCTGGATCGATTGACGTTGTTTGAGCGCCGACCTTTGGATCGATTGGCGTTGTTTGAGCGCCGACTTCTGGATCGATTGACGTTGTTTGAGCGCCGACCTTTGGATGGCTTGGAGTTGTTTTAGCGTTATCTTCTGGATGTGTTGCTTGAGCGCCGACTTCTAGATCGATTGGCTGTGTCTGATCGCCGAATTGTGGACCGAATGACTTTGTTTTAGCGTCGACATCCGGATCAGTCGAGTCGGTTGGAGCATGTATTTCGGGATTTATGGTGATTCGCACTGTTCTGAGCAGCCTCTTTCTTTCTATTATTCTCAAATTCATTGTTTGTTTACTAGGTACAATAACCAAAAGTTGTAAAGTCAACAAAATAAACAGAAACAACGTTGTTGTTCGTCTTGGGATGTTCCTCATTGTCCGTGCAATCATGTGAAATACGTATGCATGGAAGTTTGTGATTTCTCAGATAAATATTGTACAAAAGAAATATTGATCGATTTTAAGAAAGTATTTTGTTAGTGAAATAAAAGTTTTATCTTTTGTATAACTATAATATTGTGAGGTCTGAGAAAATGTCGTAAATGCTATTTTGTTCCAACAAGGAACGGAAAGACATTTTATTTTATTCTCAAGAATTGGTAGAAAGGAACAAAAAACAATTGCTTTAAAAATGTTAACAGAAACAGTTAATATATAAAACATACATAGTATATCAATAATTTTCGCATTAACTTGTTGTCAATCAGTCAACATTGCATAAAATACCACGTGCGTTTTACAGAATGATTTCAATAATTGGTTGAAAGATTCTCGCAATCTTTATCCAATCAGCGTTTGCGATGTGTACCAGCTCACGTAGAAAAGGCGAATCCAACTCAAATCCATGCAGGGGTGTATGAGGTACCCGAATAGGAATGAGCTCGTGAAATCTGAATTTATATGCACATGGTCAATGTTTACACATGTTTGGAGTTATTGAAGAAAATGTGATATGGGGGTGGTTCCGAATTTGCTTGTCATTGCTGGAAAATATGATTTTAATACGTGAAATTATATCTATAAATACAGCACTAAAAATAACAGTACACATGAAGTACATGTATGATTGTGTCCAGAAATGTTTGAAACCCTTACGGAAAATTCGGTCTGCATTTTGTCACCATTGCTCTTTCTTCCCGCATTCTAGTGCTGTTTGAATGAATATATTTATTAATGTATTTCCAACTAAAATATATTACACATTTTTTTATAAACCACAAACATTTAGATTATAAAAAAAATTATTCAATACTTGAGTGAGCACGATATGCAAGGGTTACTAAGTTGACACAGTAAATGACCACTGACATTGTGTTAGTCCATGCACACATTTGCCTTGAACACCCCTAACTTTCATAGTGAAGTGATCGTCTGACTAATTGGTTTATGTTTACGTTTTAATGTGTTTTGTGTTCCTTGTTACAGCAAGGGGGGCCAGTAAAGTAGACTATCATGTTTGCATGGCAAATTTTGATCGAATATGTGAGACACTTTAGAGAACATTGTTGAATTCAGTTCTAATTCACCATATCGATACCTATCGTTTGGCTCGTAACTATTAAGATGAAAATACGTCATTCGGTTAACCTATGACCTCTCAAAGTAAAAAAAGTTCATTTTCCGAAATCTTTATTTTTAGCTTTAAACATATTTCAACAATTAAATAGGAACAAAAGTCATGCCAAGTCAGGCCTCCCCCTGCATTAATGACGATATGGAATGACACATCGATGTCATTACCCACGCACGAATATACCATGAGCACATGCTTTGAGGATCCGCGTTGTTTGAACCTACCACCGAGCACACTTATACATTAAGACCCGTTACACAGTCATGATACCGCCGATCAAGCTCATTGCATCATCGGGTCTGCTTTACCCCCGTGCCATGGATCAACCAAATATACACTACCTGCTGTCACATGAGTATTGTCGGTGGTTAGGGGAAGCTTAGCTATTTAGACCTTGTCTCCCAGCCCCCTCCTTCCGAACGAGCCCTCTCACAATTAACAAAGATTGCATGATGCGTGTTAATAACGAGTTGTGCCTCAAGACATTAGGGAGTTAAGATTAACGTAAAGAAATGATGTCATTTGTAGATGAAATATCATTCATTAAACTTTAAAATAGTAACAACAAACAACTCATTCTATCTGCATAGAAATTATGTGGTCGAACTCATTCATTGATGCGATAAACGATGCCATGTGATGATGCATGAAATTGTTGAATTTATACATTCTTCATCAGATTTGCTTATTTTAAATGTATGAAATCAGCCATTTTCTCGTGGTTTTAATTGTTATAAATTAACTTTACTTTTTTGGTCACTCTCATTGCTGGATCATGCTAGAAATTTAACATTTCGCCCTAAGTCACTGCCCCATTAGCGGGCCCACGAGTAACTCCCTCTCCCAACTACAGTAGCTACATCACACTCTCTCTGAAGTATATAACAGTTCTTGGAGGTGAAATGTATAGGGGTTATGCACTGGGAGGTTTTGGATACAGGGAATATCCCGAGGGATATTCCATGTATCCAAACCGACCGTGCATAACTGGTGTATCTCATACTTGAGTGGGTTTAGGGTAGATATAACCTTTTCCACCTTTTTCAAATGACAAGATATTTATATTTAACATTTTCGTAATTTTCTATTTGTTCAATACAATGAAATTGTAACATTTAAACTTAAAAAATTAAATTTTAAAATTAAAAAATTAAAACTTTTGATATTTAAACTTTTTTAAACTTTTGAAAAATTCCCGGGAGCGGGATGGATATATTATATCTGCCCGCATTTGGCCTGGAGCGGGACATATACAATATATCCTGCCCGCTCCTCAGATACGATATATATTCCCGGGTGATATCTACCCCAAACCCACTCAAGTATGAGTTACACCAGTGTATCTCATACTTGAGTGGGTTTGGGGTAGATATCACCCGGGAATATATATCGTATCTGAGGAGCGGGCAGGATATATTGTATATGTCCCGCTCCAGGCCAAATGCGGGCAGATATAATATATCCATCCCGCTCCCGGGAATTTTTCAAAAGTTTAAAAAAGTTTAAATATCAAAAGTTTTAATTTTTTAATTTTAAAATTTAATTTTTTAAGTTTAAATGTTACAATTTCATTGTATTGAACAAATAGAAAATTACGAAAATGTTAAATATAAATATCTTGTCATTTGAAAAAGGTGGAAAAGGTTATATCTACCCTAAACCCACTCAAGTATGAGATACACCAGTTATGCACGGTCGGTTTGGATACATGGAATATCCCTTGGGATATACAATACATCTTCCCTCGGTCCCTTCGGTCCCTCGGGAAGATATATTGTATATCCCTCGGGATATTCCCTGTATCCAAAACCTCCCAGTGCATAACCCCTATATATGCCATTTAAGCCATCGCATGGTTTTCATTCTATAATTAGGATGTTAATTTTATCATAAATTGTAGCATACGGTTTCGTAGCCTTTTACGTTTATCTTAAACTCATTTTGCAATACGCATCACCTATACGTATCCGTAACAAACATACGGAGAGGGATAGGTACATGTATATTTTTACGCTAATCTTAACCTCCCTATTGTCCATAAATAGTCACCAATCGCAAAAACAAGACAACGAATGTTAAGATCAAGGTAAAATATATTTTCTTTCACGCCTAACCATCGACAACCTACAGTGACAAAATATACCGTCGTACACTTTCGATGTTCGCTGTCACTATTCCAACTGATTTTTTTTATTTCTATTATTTTAGCCAAAACGTGAATATTTATTTAATCTTCAACCGACTTTAATTGTGTAACTTAGGAAACATATTGTCATAAAAATAATCGACACTCTTAGGCGACAGGGGAAGAAATGATCAAAGCAAATATGAAAAAACCAACATTTTCCAAACGATCATTGTTGGTTGTTAGATTTACTACGAAAAATATCGAGCACTGCTCGAAAATCTTTTAACGTAATTAGTACCCAGCTAACAATTTTACGTTGTGATAACGTCGTCAGAATATATGTCTCAAGTTGTAGCAACGTTAAATATGGAACGTTGTAGGTACAGGAAGGTGTGGACTCGCACAGATGTTTAAAGAACGTTACATTTGACTTAAATATCACGTGTCAGGAACGTAGTAGCGACCTTAACAATTACGTCGCCAAAATAACGAAACTGTAACGTACTTACATTACGTCATATTTACGTGGCCAATCTAAATTTCTGGTAACGTTGATATGGAACGTTGTAGGTACAGGAAGGTGTGGACTCGCATAGATGTTTAAAGAACGTTACATTTGACTTAAATATCACGTGTCAGGAACGTAGTAGCGACCTTAACAATTACGTCACCAAAATAACGAAAATGTAACGTACTTACATTACGTCATAAATACGTGGCCAATCTAAATTTCTGGTAACGTTGATATGGAACGTTGTAGGTACAGGAAGGTGTGGACTCGCACAGATGTTTAAAGAACGTTACATTTGACTTACATATCACGTGTCAGGAACGTAGTAGCGACCTTAACAATAACGTTGCCAAAATAACGAAACTGTAACGTACTTACATTACGTCATATATACGTGGCCAATCTAAATTTCTGGTAACGTTGATATGGAACGTTGTAGGTACAGGAAGGTGTGGACTCGCATAGATGTTTAAAGAACGTTACATTTGACTTAAATATCACGTGTCAGGAACGTAGTAGCGACCTTAACAATTACGTCACCAAAATAACGAAAATGTAACGTACTTACATTACGTCATAAATACGTGGCCAATCTAAATTTCTGGTAACGTTGATATGGAACGTTGTAGGTACAGGACGGTGTGGACTCGCACAGATGTTTAAAGAACGTTACATTTGACTTACATATCACGTGTCAGGAACGTAGTAGCGACCTTACCAATAACGTTGCCAAAATAACGAAACTGTAACGTACTTACATTACGTCATATATACGTGGCCAATCTAAATTTCTGGTAACGTTGATATGGAACGTTGTAGGTACAGGAAGGTGTGGACTCGCATAGATGTTTAAAGAACGTTACATTTGACTTAAATATCACGTGTCAGGAACGTAGTAGCGACCTTAACAATTACGTCACCAAAATAACGAAAATGTAACGTACTTACATTACGTCATAAATACGTGGCCAATCTAAATTTCTGGTAACGTTGATATGGAACGTTGTAGGTACAGGAAGGTGTGGACTCGCATAGATGTTTAAAGAACGTTACATTTGACTTAAATATCACGT